TTAATCGTGCTTTATTTATCCTGGGATTCTCTCCTTTCCATATAAAGTTGGTGATTAGTGTTTGTTCATTTCTTTGAAGAAGGACCACAAGGGGTTTTAATACTTTCCATTTTACAGGTGGGAACATAAGGGTCTGGGAGGGGAAACTCACCCGCTCATGGATGGTGAGCGGCAGACAGGCTGCCCCCAGCTCATGTTCCTAGACGTCAGCACGTACGGAGGTTTCAGACGCCGTCCCACAGTCACAAGAAACTTTTGTTGGGAGTTGCCATCTAGCCGCCTTGACTCATAGTGACCATGGACCTGCAGTGGCCCATAGGGCCATCGGCCGCTCGAGCCATGGAAGTAGCCCTCCCGTTTGGGGAGAAAGCATAAAAGTTGTGGCTGGTGCTCTTGGTGAGTTTTGACACCTCAACCCTGGCGCCCACAGGCACACAGAAGCAGGCAGTCACAAAAATGTCCCAACCTAAGCTGTCACTGAAATCTACCCCACACGTGGCGAAGAAGCCAAGTCTTGCAGGGCAGCGCTGACCGAGGCTAGGTGCCACGTACCCGCAGCTCCCCCTCCCCTCCAAGCCCGCCCCCACCTCATCTCACAACCTACCAGTGGGTGATAATTTCATCTGAAAACTGTGCCTGCGCCCACATGTCTGTTCTCGCTCCCCGGCAGGGCCCTAGCTCGGGAGCTCCTGTTTGACTCAGCTCCTAAAACCTCTTCCTTTGAAGAAGACGCACATTTTGAAAAAGTGGCTTTTAGGTGCCCCTGCCCCACCCCCGAGAGTCCTCACCTATTTGTCAGATGGGCTCTATCCAGTAGCCTTCGAACTCAAAGTCCATGTCGGCTCACAGTGACCCTCGAGGACAAGGCCGAGCTGTCCCCTGTGGATCTGTGAGGCTGTCACTCTTTACAGGAGCAGAAAGCCCCATTTTTCTCCCGTGCAGCGGCTGGTGGCTTCGAACTGGTGATCTTGAGGATCTTGCAGCCCAACACGGAACCACCGTGCCACCGAGGATCCTCCATAGGAGCTTGAGGCACACAGAATAAAATCATCTCAGGAGAATTTTGAGAAATGCTGGTGGGCCCAACAGTTAAGCTCTCAGCTGCACATGGAAAGGTCAGTGGTTCAAACCCACCAGCTAGTCCCTGAGAAAAAAGATATGGGGTCTGCTGCCCTAAAGATCACCACCTTAGGGACCTCGAGGGGCAGCTCTGCCCTGCCCGCGGGGGTCATACTGAGTCGGCACTGGCTCAATGGCAGTGGGCAGTAGAATCTCCCCGTGCAGCGGCTCACGGTCACCCTCTGGAAAGACTTGAGGCAGAGCACGTCCATCCATGTCTGAAAGCGCTGCATCGCTTTACTTTTGTTGTCTTCCTTTTCAATGGTGACCTGAAACTTTGGGCAAGAGAGACTAGCTTTCCACGTACTAACTTTTATGGACACAGCAAGGGATTTGTTTTTGCCATTTGTAAAAAGTGGACCGAGCTGAAGAGGGGTGGATGGTGGACGGTGGTGGCAGCCAAGCTGTGGCCGCCGCCGTGTGACTGGGTGTGAGCAGCCGGACACGAACTGGCTGCACCTGAGGGGCAGGCCCTCACGGCCCGTGACCGGGCCTTGTTCCCCCATCTCTGGGAAGGGACTGCACTGAATTCCCCGAGAGCTTCCTCTTGTCTGGGGTCCATGGCGGGTGAAAAGCCGAAGACCCACACTCACTGCCATTAGGACGGAGCAGAACCAGCCCACGGGAGGGGGGGGGCACGGGGAGCCCATGGCTGCTGTCTTTACTGAAGCTGATGCCCCACCTATCTCCCTAGGAGCCGCTGGTAGTTCCAAACAATGCCCGTCTGATCAGCAGCGGGCCTTTCCCCACTGCTGTTGGCAGGTGAAGTAACCCCCAGGTTCAGAATGCAGCCAGGGGTGAGCTTCCCCGCTTCAGAGAAAGCGGTTTTCCCTGAGCAGCTTGCTGACAAGTGAGACCCCAGCGCAGGCTGGCAGACAGGCACTGCACACCACTGGGTGTCCAGAACACAGGGTCAGGCCAAGCGGGGCAGGGAGGACGGAGGGCCTTTACTCAGTCAGCTCTGGAGCCCCTGGTTTTGCCATCACCCCAGGCCTGCGCCGCTCTTGATAACCGAGTGGTGATGTGAGCCCCAAACGCACCACCATCGAGTGGATGTCCACTCACAGTGACCCTATAGGACAGGGTAGGACTGCCCCTGTGGGTTTCCGGAAATGTAACTCTTTACAGGAATAGAAGTTTCTTTGTTCTCTGGAGGTTGATGGTTTCAAACTGTTGACCTTGCAGTCGGCACCCCCCACTGAGGCAGGAGAATCTCCACTCTGAGAAACCAGCAGTCCCATTTCTAACAGGAGTCCTGGGCTGCAGCATGTGGTGAAGGTGCTTGGTTACTTCACCAAAAGGTTCATGGTTCAAATCCCTCTGGGGCACCTCAGAAGAAAGGTTCAGCAACCTACAGTAGAACCCAACCTCAACGCCAATCCGTTCTAGAAGAAGCGGCGTTCGAGATGCGATGCAGTAGAGTTCTGTATAAATGTTTCCCGTCATAACAGAAAACGGATTAATCCGTTCTCAGCCATCAAGTTTTTACACTAACCTTGCCTTTTTATATAAAACATTACACAGAAATTTCAAAGTAAATAAGTTCAGAGTTAAATAAATTTAACTTAAATAAGAAACACAACATTAAACAAGTTTTTAACAACTACAGTATAACCCCTACCTTGAGATTAATGAGGATCTGGATCTGTGGACCCAGACGTGGAGGGAAGGTATGGAGTCATTGTTTGGAAGGGGAATCCGCGTCCATAAAATCAACTGGTAGCTGCTTTCAGTTATTTTTCCTTTCTTTGCCCTTTTTCACTAGGACCTGGCTGTCTTTCTCTAAAA